TGCGGGGAACAGCCCCATTTTACAGATAGGAACAGGGAGGCCCAGACATGGGCGTTTGTGTCTGCGTCGAAGGCCATCCCCGCCAAGATCTCCTGGTCCCCCTGGACGCTGCTGGACTGTAGGGAACATAACAGCAGCACCCCTCTGCTCCAGCCTGTAAGCTGTGGGGTGGGGTTCTCCTTCTTCACAGAAGCTGGGAAGGGGAGGAATTCTGTGCGAGGTGAGAGGCCCGGGAGTGCTGGAGCCGGGACGAGACTACCGTGAGCACAGTGGTGAATTATCTCCTGGTGTGTCCAGGCCACTCCCTTGTTTACTGAAACTCTCCCCTTTTGCTTTCTCTTTCTGTTCCACTTCCTTGTGTGTGCTCCTGGCATTCATCTTTTTATTAATTTTTATTTTTTTTTCCTTCTTATCGAATGTTGGATGACATTGGTTAATAAAATTATACAGTTCAGCCTTGCGTTCACATGGAGCGCTGGGAGAGAAAGGTCAGGAAGCGGGGTAGGAGGGTCCCAAGGGCTGGGATTGTGGGCGGGCTCTGTGGAGCCTCCCAGGCGCCTGGGAGACTCAGGTCCATCAGGCATGGGCAGGGGGCGCCCTGGGTCGCTGATGCCTACCTGAGAGCCGCAGCCCTCAGCACAGCGGTTTTTGGAATGTTTCATCCCCTCTGTGGGTCATGAAATCATTTTAGTGGAGCACACCCTGTGTTTAAAGGAAAGAAAACAGAACATTAAGGGTCACATCACTGGCCCTGGTTAGGGCACATGCAGGAGGCAACCAATGGATGTGTCTCCCTCACATCAGTGTTCCTCTCTCTTACACTCTCTCTGAAAAGCAAAGGGAAAAATATCCTCAGCTGAGCATTAAAAAAAAACAAAAAAAAAACAAAAGCAAAAACTCTTAGGGCAGGTGCTTTGCTGTCCACTAGCCTGGATTAGAATCTTGGTGCCTGGCCGGGCGTGGTTCAGCGGTTGAGTGTCGACCTGGGATCCAGGCGATCGGGGTTCGATTCCCGGTCAGGGCACATGCCCGGGTTGCGGGCTCGATCAATGACTCTCATTATTGATGTTTCTATCTCTCTCTCCTTCTCCTTTCCTCTCTCTGAAATCAATAAAGATATATTTAAAAAAAAAAAAGAATCTTGGCTCTGCCACTTGCATAAAAAAAAAAAAAGTTGAGCTCAGCTGAGTTCAAAAAAAANAAAAAAGTTGAGCTCAGCTGATGTTGCTCAGTGGTTGAGCGTCATTCATAAACCAAGAGGTCACCAGTTTGATTCCCAGGCTGCTGGCTCAGTCCCCTGTAGGGGGTGTGCAGGAGGCAGCTGACTGATGTTTCTTTCTCATCGATGTTTCTGTTTCTTCATACCTCTACCTTTCTCTCCAAAAATCAATTAAACATTTTTAAAAAGATATTTTGTAATTAGTTTTTATTTTTAAAAAATGTATCTTTATTGATTTCAGAGAGGGGAAGGGAGAAAGAGAGAGAGAAACATCAATGGTGAGAGTCATTGATCGGCTGCCTCCTGCACGCCCCCCACTGGGGGGTCAAGTCTGCAACCCAGGCATGTGCCCTGACTGGAAATTGAACTGTGATCTGGATCCTAGGTCGATTCGGTTCAACCACTGAGCTTCACCTTCACCCGGCTGGACAAAAAAAAAGATACTTCCTTAAAAAAAGTTGAGTTTGTGAAATGAGGATATTGATACCTACCTTGTGTTTCACGAGAATTAAATGAGAAAATGCATGTGCTTATCACAGCCTGTGGTCCATGGTATGTGCTTCAGCAGTGCGCTAGAGCCTGGGATTTCTGTCCAGCTCTGTTCAGTAACATCACAGTGGCAGGAGGAAGTTGGCCATGGTGAGAGTATTTATACGCCACCGAAATCAGCAAACGCGACAAGTCAGGGTTTTACTAAGTTTCCTTTAAGCCTGTGCAATTGGGATAGGTTTGGGTTGAGCTGAACTCAATTGAGAGTCAGGTTTGGAGCGGAAGGATTAGATGCAATTCTGGGATTTGGGGAAAGTCCCCAGAAGGTATTTGTATTCTGTATCCATGGACTGGATGCCAGTTATTTAACATGTATCAATTGCTCGCCACGGGCTGTCTTGCGTAATAAAGGACACTGCAGAATGTGCTCGCTGGTCTCAAATTCTGTTTACAGATGCCCAGGGAAGCTTTTTAAGGCCCGCGACTGGGCGCCCTGGAGGAAGGGGTCCAGTGAGGTGCACGTGTCGCACCTGGAAGGCATTTAAATAGGAATGCCTCGGCTCGACGCCACGGTTCAAGACCTGGCCTCTAAAGCAGGCCTCGGTCCTATCATCTCCGACAGGGCGAAATGCATTTATCATCTTCCTACCCGGTTGCTCAGCGAGGCGCAGGCTGGCGCTCAGCGCTCGGTAGGGCGCCTTGGAAGCGCTGGGCCCTGCCCTCGGAGGATTTCCCCGTGCAGACGGTCCCCCTGGTCAGCCTCTTCTGCATTTTACCATTTTATAACCTAAATAGGCAGAGAGGGGGGTTGTGACTTGTCCCCCGGCACCCAGGAAAAGGCCGTGGGTGGACAGGGCAGCGCGGGGCTCTGCAAACACGCCCCTGCGAGCCGGGACGGCAGCCCCCCCGCCTGGGGCACAGGGTGGCGGCGCCCAGGGCGCAGAAGCTGCGGGGTGTATTCCTGGGTCCCGCCGCTGCTGCGAGGCCTGCACTTCGGGGGTGGGC